ATCTACTCTAAACCTTCTTCTCCTCGGCCAACTTCTTAAAGCCCTGGACCAAATCGTCCCGCAAGTCCTCCCACGCCTCCACGCCGATGCTAACACGGAGAAGTTGCTTGTCACAGCCAGGATCGCTCATTGCCCGCCACTCAATCAAGCTCTCAACACCTCCTAGCGAAGTAGCGTGGTGGAAAAGCTCCATCTTGCTCGGAAGCCTCTTCGCGTCCTCGGCATCCTTTAACCAGATGGCAAAAACGGGACCAAAGCCGCCAGGCATCTGCTTCTTCAACCATTCGTCCTTCTGCAAACTAGCATGGACAACCTTGTCAACGACACTGCCGACGACACCGGTGGGGTTGTTCCTGATCTCGTCGTCAATCCAGCGAACGAGGCTGGTGGCAGACTTGCTCTGCCTCTCCACACGCAGCTCAAGCGTCCGAATTGACCGGACACCGAGCCAGCCCTCCAAGCCTCCCATGACGCTTCCGATGTAGCAACGCTCCTCAATCATGCCGCGAAGCCACTTGTCCGCGCGGGACGGGTTAACAGCCAGCACGCCGCACAACATATCCGAGTGCCCACCAAAGTATTTGGTTCCAGAGTGCATCACGATATCCGCACCAAAGTCAAAGGGGTTTTGCAGTGGCGGCGGCGCAAACGTCGCATCGACAGTCATATAAGCCCCAACCTTGTGCGCCCTTTCGGCATAGTACGCCAAATTACGCGCCTCGCCGGTGGGGTTCAACGGGGTCTCGACGTGCAACACATCACCGGCTTCGAGCTGGTCAAGGGACGCCTCGTCGAGCTCGAGCTGCTTCAGGCCGTTGAGTTTGGTGAGAATGCGAATGACACCGTGGCAGCCGTGGTAACCGCCGCCGATGGCTACGCGCTTCGGGTTGAGGTAGACGAGCATGGCGTGGAAGGCGGAAAGGCCGGAGGAGTAGGTCAGAGAGGGCCCGCCGAGGACGGAGGAGAGAACGGCCTCGAAGCGGGTTGTGTTCGGGGTGGAGTAGCGGGAGTAGACGTGAGAGTCGGCGGGCGCATTGGGCTGGCTACTTGTTAGTCTGGACAGACTCAAATGAGAAAGTGAAGGGCTCTCACGTCGGTATTGTCCCCTGGACGGAGGTCATCGGGGTTGGCGCTGTACTTGAAGGTCGTCGATACGTGAATGGCCGGGGCAACCGCACGATGGGAGCTGATGCCATCGTCGGCGTGGACGGTGCGGGTAGCGAGTGACAGGTTGCGGATGCCGTCCTCCGGGCCGAAGCCTGTGCCGTTGGCGGGAATGTCACCAGCCATTGTAATGTTGGTCCGGGATGGGATGGGATGGCGGGGCAAGTTTTGTCACTGGCTTGGAGGAAATTGTCGCGGGGTGAATGGGCGGTTGACCGGGCGTGAGGTTTCACTCGATCATGGGGTGGCAATGATCTACGACGATGAACAGGTGTTGGGAGCCGCAGTACTTTTATTCCCCATAGAAGAACAGCTGAAAGTTTGACAAGGATGCAATGACAACAGTCACCGGCGACAGAGGGGTTCTCTCTCTCCCTCGCGCGCATTTCCTCTGCCCCTCCATTACGTATCAGAAGGTGGGGTCTCACGAAGGTGAACAAATCCCGAGAAAATGGGTCCTGGTGCGACAAGTGCATGGTGGGATGCAATCTTTGCGATATCACGTCAAACAACGAAGCAGCGATTGGGAAACGTTGGCCGGTCCGACTCCGCTGGGCCTCCGGTATTCGGATCGTTTGTCAATCTGCGCCCTTGAGCTTCCGTGGCGTAAAGTTTCTGATGCTGTGATTCGTAGGGGGTTATCCCGGCCGCACACCTATCGTCACTCGATCTCATCCTCATTCTCTTTCACGCACATGTTGCAAGTCCGCGCAAGTCTGTGAAGTTGTATCTGTTATCATTATCATCAAGAGCTCATTCACGAGACAACCAGCCTCGAAGACGGCGAGCTCATTTTGCCGGGCCTGATTCTTGCCGCTCGTATATGCATAATGCGGCCCAGCCCGACCGGATCGTAGGCTGGCCCAACTCTAATCATGTCATAGCGAATGCGTCCCATTTCCAGGGCCCAACCCAGCCAGTAACGCCAAGATCCTGCGCCGTTCAAAATCTCGCACAGGATATCGTATGTACAAATCGAATAAACAATGCCGCACAGGATTAGCGTACTTCGGTGGTTCTGACAGAGGCCGCTGACTTTGGTCGCTCAATGTCGATTGTGCCAAGTTCCTGACCTCCGCTCTGTCCGCGCTTTCGTCCGGTCAGGAAGCGGGTCACACTTGCGTTTGGGGAATTAGCGCTCTGCTCCTTGTGATCAGAGTCACCGAAGCGCGAGAACAGGCCGCGCTTACGGCTGGGCTGTTGCTTGTGGTCGTCCAGGCCGACATCCTCAAAGCCCTCGTCGGCAGTGGGAAGGTCCCTGTCGGACCTTCTGTCAATCGCGGATCGAGGCAGGCGCGGGAATCGTGCGGAGTCGAGGCTCTGGCGTTGGGGGAGATCGGTCTGGGGGATTGGGGAGCGTGCTGAGATGTCCTGCAGGTAAGTTGCGGTCAGCGGTAGTGTCACGATAACCTCGCATAGATGCAACGCACGAAAGACCGTCTGTAGGAATCGAAAGACTCTCTCGAGATGGAGAAGTGCTCAATCTCGCCGCTGTCGGTGCGAGTGTCTGTAGAGTTGCGACCCGAGCCGAGGTACTTGCGCGGCCAGAGTCCCTTTTCCTCAGTTGGAGATGGCTGCATAGGTGCATTAGCGATGTCTCAAGCACGCCTGAAGATTAAGTGCAAACAAACAGGGAGGTAGACACCGCTATCGTTGACAACGCTCATTTTGTATTCGCCGTTGTCCTGGCTCTTGGATGTTCTCACGCTCAACGAAGACGAGGCCTTGGAGCCCACGGTGTCCTGCTTCTCGAAGCCGGGATGCGACGGGTTCTCGCCATCTGTGCGAGCGGTGTCGTCTGGAGTAAAGGTTGCTGGACCCGGGCGACGGGCGAATGGGTTGCGGATAGTAGGCATGGTGGATGGAGGGGTGGCGGGAACGTCGGAAAGTGCTTTTCGAATGGGTAATGCTCGTTATAAGGCGATGAGATGGTGATTCGAAGACGGGTAATCGTGCCGGGGCGGGTTATAAGTCGGAGAGCGTTGTGCGAGAAAAGTCAGAGCGGATGTTTAAGCTGTGTCCGACATTCGAGGGTGATGCTGGCAGCTTTGTGTTTTGCAAAGGAATAAAGCAGTGGAGCCGGAAGGGCGGGGTGGTAGCAAGGACGTGGATAGACGGGACGGTGATGAACTATATGGGAAGTCTTAACCGTCCGGGCTGCTAGGCCTTGTGTATGGTTGGTCGAGGTTGACGGGTGTGTCTTGGTTTTGGTGTCTAGTAGTGTATTGCAAGTTGCCCGTTCCAAGGGTCTCTCGTCTTGGTGTACAGTAAGGCGGTGGCTTGGTTGCACGACTCGAACTTGGATTGGTCTGGAGCGGGGAGATGGATTTGGTTTGTGGAGGAGAGTTGAGGCGCAAGGCGAAGCAGAAGCAGGAGGTGCGGGTTCCGAGGGTGGCTGTAAGCAGAGGGTGCAGAGGGTGTAGTTGATGAGGACCTCAGACGATGACGAGATGATTAGACGACAAGGTAGTACGGTAGGTAGGAGGCACGGAAGTTGGAAAAGTGAAGAGACCCGGAAGGCAGGAACCATATCATCGGGCGGGAACCTGCAGGTTTTGGGCAGTGGCTTCCCTCATCCCTTGTCTTTGGCATGTCTCCGGTCTTGCTTCTTTTTTTGCCCTTCCCGTCTGTTCCTCTCTCCCCGCCTGTTACGGCAATGGGACTGCACCCCATTCACTTGCAGGAAGCGGTACGCACTACTGCCCCTCAGGGACTAGGGAAGGGGCAGTTTTTGCAGACTTGAAGGTGACGAATGACCTTCTTGCAGCTGCATCTATTGGATCATGAGGTAACGGCACCACTCCGGACCTCGCCTTAACGGGGTCCTTACTTAGTAAGGTACTACGCAGTAAGTAAAAGGTTCCAATCTTTAGGGGACCTGGTTTGGCCTGAGCACCCTCCTGTCTTCATGCTGTCGACCCGTCGTCGAATATCTCACGTAGAGCGACGGACGGGAATGATGTATTCCTGCCGCGGGGAGACGGGAAACTTGGAAGGTAGCGCAACTGCACCGGCGAGAAGACATCGATCTCTACTATTATGGACGGCCCGGGCACTCGGACGCACCGAGCCTGCTGCAAAAGCTTTTTGTAAGGTAAGGTAGGTAGCTGGGTAGGTACGAATAGGGTACGGATACTTGTGGATGGCAAGGGCACCTGGGTCGGCAAGGCACAATGACATGTGTTTGTCCCATGTTTTCCCTGGCCGTCAGCCGCCAACCCATCCTAAAAGGCCCAAGGTTCGTCGGATCGCTACGCAGCGGTACGTTGGAGACCACGCTGATTGCATCAGACGCAAGGTACCTCGCCCTTGGGTAGGTATACTATGTAAGCCCAGCCCGCCTTGCCTTGCAGAGACCCTGCCCTCCCGTCCGCAAAGATGGGGTGACGCTTGCCGTCATCCACCACGTCCGTCCAGCGCTATCCCCGCTACGGCATGCCCTCTCTGCCCTCACTGCCCTGATTATCCTGGCTCCAGTGGTTAAAATGGTCCCACCCAAGAACGACCATCCATCGTGGAGTTGCTGAGAGGCCGAGACCAAGTCACGGGTCCAGACTCGCTTTTTCCAAGGCCGCCATCGCTGCCTTTCTTCAGTCCTATCTGCACGGAGCAGTCACTCACAAGCATCGCAGTGCCCTACAGTACGAGGTCCCGCGTTCCACATCGTACAAACGGTGCGCCCCCGGATGCCTCGGCACCGGGTTTGAAGGAAGTCTGCGCGATCGGCACGCCGGTTTTCCATTCTGCACCCAATGCCACCGCGGACCTGCATCATGTCCGTCCAGCCGTTCCTGATTGACCGCGTCGGAGTCTGATGCGCATCCCGCGCCTATCAGATGGATGACGCTTTCATCGGCATCCACTTCCTTCACCCAACTCGCCCGCTCACCACTTTCCCGGACGGGGAACCTCTTCGGTCAGTCGCCGGGAGCCATATTCTCGCTTTCCGGCGCCAGCTCGACGGTATCGACGAAATTTTGGAATCCTGGAATGCTGTCCAGCACGTGATCAGCACGCCGGTCAACGGGGATGCCGGTGTCGCACACCAAGTCAGCCGGTCGGAACACCCCTGGCATACAGAGAGAGTATCGTCCAATCCGAAAATTGAACGGGAAGGAGTCGTCATATACTACACCGGAGGAAGGCCAGCTTATGAACGAATTGCACCGACGAAGGTCTGGTCGGAAGGACCGACTTTCCGCCAATTGAGGGGAGTCTCACGCCTTCTTAACCAGAAAGCCGGACCTGAAAAAACAGCGAAATGAGAACTTTACCGTCATCGACGATTCCATGCAACATCGGACGCAAGCGGAAGTAACACCTTCCAACACCGTACCGAATTGACTCGAGATCATATCTACTTCCCCCTCCGCCGCCGCGCGACTATTCTCGTTGACGCCGACGATGGCCTCACTCACTTGACCTCAAGGCTGTGTTTGTCGTAGCGGCGGCGCTTCAATCTTCGAAAAAGCTTGAGTAAGCTGCCGAAGACCACACCCTATTTTCGCCGACGCATGGCAGTTTCTTAGCAGCGGCAGCAAAAAATGGCTTGCTAGTACCCTCCGGATTGAGTTATCGTGAGAAGGCAGCCCCGCGTTATGGTTCCTGTCCGGCTGATCGAGTGCGCAGGCGCCCCAACCCATCGTTGCAGACATGGCGTAGCTACATACTTGCGTTTCGACAGCCGACGGCGGCAGCTCCCTTGGCTTGAAAGATACGGTGCCAGGATGTCGGCTCAATAGGCGGATGGTGCCATATATTGCAAGTAACGAGTCGGATTGACGCGACGCTGGAACGGACAGTTAGAAAACTCTGGCGAACAATCTGTTCATGACCTTCTTGTTCCTGTCCTTGCCAACCAAGAGTGGTACCGCTCAGCAAAAGCCGCATTGGGACTGATCTACTGGGCTTGCTGTGGAACACTTCTTTGTCGTGAGACGATCACAAAAACTTTCGGCGAGGCTACGTTGGTTGGTTGGCAGTCGCTTCTCAACGTCGAGTCTCAAGCGCGACAAGGCCTGCCATCGGCGACGCGACTAATCGTCGTCTTTGTTACCCTCTGATCGTAACCACCTGGCTGCCGTGATCATCGGTGTTGCCGTCAGCGGCTCACAATCTGACGGTCGCCTGCGTTTTACTGGCATAGTCAACCCGTGTTTCCGTCGTTTACCCAGGCTGCAGCTTGGACGGACCTGCGTGGAAAATTTGGAAAATTCACCGAATATCTACGCAGACAAAGAAATGGGCCTGCCATTCTCCCGAGAACCTTGAACTGCCCCGAATGTCGACCTGGCATCACAGACGCCTCGACTAAAAATCTGGAGCCGAAGCAGATCATGAAATATAGTGCATCGTTTTGGTTCCCGGTGATTCTCGTGGAAATGTCCTGGCATGTCATGTCAGGACCTTACGATGGCTGCCTCCACAGTTTGTGATAACCCCGTGGCCGTGGTTCTGGGAGCTTGACAAACAACACGCCTCATGGCATATCAATTTGTCAATTTCAAACTTGGTTTGGACCACTTGGTTGCCGTCGACGTGCTCCGATGGCCTACTCGGATTGCATGGCGCTGAGACGCAGGTAATTTCCAAGCGTCCGTGGGAAGGACGAGCCAGTGGCGCCTACGAACCGCATTGACATCAAGCGCCGAGTCAAATCAACTCAAGCAACCCACCTGGCCCGGGAGGCCTTCAACTTGGGCATCGTGCCATCTCACTGTGGTAACGGGACGACGTCTGTTCTCCTCAGTCTTCACTATGGAGCCACATGGTGGCGCGCTAGGCCGGCGCCATGGTATCCAAGCAGCTAAGAAAAGAAGCATATGATTTGATCGACCGTCGAGTGTCCGAGCAGAGCAGACGACTTGCGATGGACTGCTAACGGTCGTCACAAGCAGAGATGCTCAAACACTCCTCCTCGCCGCTAGAGTCGCACTCGATCGTACCCTGCACGTCGCTCGCCAAGGCCAATCGTTGTTTTCAGGTCGAAGCCCTCTGTGCTCCACACGCAATGCGATGCTATGTAGAGCACACACACTGCCGCATACTGCAACATGCGGGAGTCAGACTGGAGATCAACCCGAAAGTGAGATCTCCAGGGGTACCGCGACCGAAGCGGCCCCCGAGGCTGTGCATCGCGTTGCTGCCGGTTCCTGCGTAAAACCGCCCGCTTCTCAACTGGCGTGGGCCGCATTCAAGTCTAAGGTTCCTTTGCAGCATTGCGAGAAGGCAGCACACCAGATGAGGTACGCCAGCAGCCGGCCGGAAAGCGTGGCCAGTTGAGTCGCATGTCAGGCCCCAAAATTCCAGCGGCCTGGGAATGCAAAGTGACACGGAAACTCTAGAATCAAGCACGTTCACGTCAAGACAAAAGCGCACAGAGCCGTGGCAGCCAGCGAACAATACTCAATATCACGAGAACGTGGCAGAGGGTGGCTTCACTCTCGCCGCAAACATGCATGACAAACACACAGCACCCACCCTAAGCCAAGATACTGAGTGGGAGCGAGCAGCTTCTCGTGGGTCCCGGTCTGGAAATCAGGTGTGGCTTGCCTGCCGCGCTTCCTTCGGCGCTAAATCAGCAGCTAAGGCTACCCGTCCCGTACCTTACATTCCGCAAACGGCCATTTGAGACCTCTTTCTGTCGTGGCACACTGCGAATGCTTCTCTCGCAGAGTCTGGCGAATCCCCCCGCAGCTTTCAGTGGCGCCAATTACGCATTCGCACCTCAACTCAGCGAGCGTTCGCCGTGCCCAACTTGTCAACCCAGATCAGAGCATTCCGACATGGCGGCGACCCGGCTCAGTGCTGTTGGCCGAGTGTGAGCCTCTTCAAGACGCCATCGGCCCAACGCAAACGGGCATAGTGTCTTGTCGCGATCCACGACATGGGATCTAGATGGAGGAGCAGGGATGATCCAGACTTCCTCTCTGCAGCGGACCATGAGTACGAGAACAGCGCTCAGGAATCGCCCGCGGCCTCGATACCACCACACCAGACCTTCAGTGCCCCGTGATGGAGGAGGACGTGGACGTTTATGGTTGTACATGCTCAACCTCGCACGTCCTCGGCCGGTGGTCTCTTCCTCCGTACCCTCAGTCATCCTCCCATCTCCACTTGGGCAACAGACGTCGCCCAGCCACTGTCGACACACTCTGCCCGAGACGGACGATGGTCCACGGTTGCCGTCAGTCTAGTCCCAGTCCAGCGCTTTCGAGGTTCAGGTCTGGGCCTTGCGTATGTTCTCCCCATCGTAGACGGTGCAAGCGATGTGATGAGTTGTGTTTGCTGCTGCTAGCCGTGTACCCTGTTTCATACAAAACCTGCTGCCACCCTTCCGACCATTCACACCCTGGACACTGCTTCCCACATGGGTTTTGTTTCCTCTTCACCGCCGAGGGTTTAATATCTGCCGTTGCCTTCTGAATACGAGGTTGCTTTTGTGTGCTGCTCGTCTTGACTAATACTCAACGGAGTTGCAGTCGTTTTGGTCTGGTTTGAATACCAACCCTTCGTCACCTTGTTCCGACATCATCGCCTCGAGCCGCCGAACACGACAATCCGCCATAATATTGTTTAAGGTGTTGGGGTTGATTTTCTGTCCTTCCTTTGAAAGACACGGTGCCTGTCCCGGCTGTATTCACTACCAGCAACACCGGTTGGGCTAATTGCGTGCCACTTACACCGTTCATCCGAAGTGCTACCTGCCGCATTCGAAAAAAGGTCTGGCCGAAAGCAGAAGAGGCGGACGTCACAACAACCAACCTCAGTCCGAAAAGACTTTTTTTCTTCACTTCTTTCATCGCCTCAAGTAGATCGGCGCAGCGCTCCGATCATTCACCATCACCACTTTTCATCTGATCTCAATCACCACCCCCTGCCCCCTGCTCGGCCACTGAGCGTATCTCATCGATCATCACCACCCTCACCGTTCTATCCCGATTTCAGTCATAAGAAAACACCATCAAGATGGGCGGAAGATTTTTCGTGGATTGGGAGCTGTGGCAGCAGATGACCTTCGTATGTTTCCCAGCTGAGTTGTCCTTCATGATCTGCAACATATCTAACGGTTGCTTCTAGGTCCTTGCATGTGCCATCGCGGTCGTCTTCGCCATTGGCTTTGTCAAGCTATGGTGGACGAATCGTTACATGGCGAAACTTGAGATTATCGATGCCGAAAAGCGAGCTCACGCCTCTGAGATGGAATCAACCGGTCTTCCTCCCCCGCGAAAGCAGTCCGACATCCCCTTCGGCGTCCGAGCTATCCAGTCTGGTATCGAGGTCGATGGCATCTGGATTTCTCGTCCTGGCACCCCCGCTACCGACTCTCCCCCGAACTCGGCCAAAGGCAAGGGCAAGTACGTCGCTCAAGCTCCCGTCTCGCCTTCCTCTCCCACGAACTCCGATCCTTTCAACTCTCCGGCATCGTCTTCTCGTGGCGGCAATAACTATGGCCCCCAGACCTATCGCCCCAAGTCCATGTCTTCTCAGGGTCGCGTCACAAGTCAAGCCGATGCTTTGAGACGTCTGGAGGGTGAGCCCAGTGCCAATGTGACATACCAGACATACCAGCCTCGCGGAGCCGGAGCCGCGGCCATGCACGACGACGAGTATGGCCCAACCGATCGTATTTCCGGGGACTATGGCGTCGATGTCAGAGTCCCTATTCGCCCACCTCCTGTCAACCGCCACCTGAACAACGCTCGCGGAGGTGGCAGCCCTCCTCAGCCCAAGGTCACTGGCGTTCGTTCATTTTCCGGAAGCCTTCAAATCCCCAACAACGGCAAGAAGGGTTACTCTACTGTCCCCCAGGGTTCCCCTGGTGGCGAGTTTTCCGACCCCTTTGCGAGCCCAAGCCGCTCGCCGGTCACCACTCCCGGTGCCGACCACGCCCTTTTGCCTTCTCACCAGGGGCACCACGTTACGTTCGCGCCCGATGAGTACATTACCGCCCATCACGACCATCACCGCCACCCCAGCGACGGCAGCAGTGGAAGCAGCAGCAGCAGCCGGAGCTAAAGCACCACGCTGTTCAGGAAGATTCAGGCTGAGGACAGTACATGATGAACAGCATTGGTTGGCACAGCGAGTTACTTTTTCAATGTCTTGAGGCATTTTCTTTTCTTCAACTTGGAATTCTAATAACAATGTATCATTAGTAGAACTGCCAATGCTGGGCAGGGTAGATGGAAAAGGACAAGGAATCTTGGCGCCTAACAAAAAAGGAGGCTCCCCAAAGGCGTTTGAGGATTGTAAAAATATCTACGGGCGGGGTTACAAGCAGGAGAGGCAGCGGGGGAAGGAGGGGAACAGCAGACGATCGGAAATGCGATGGAATCCATCGTCAGGCCTCTGAAATGAAAGGGGCACCGACTATCCTTAACAACATCAATCACATAGAAAGAATAAACAGAAGAGTCAAGAACAATTGCCTTGCAGGTTCAGTGATTCTTTGATCAGTCTATTTTCGCTCTCGGATGCGCTGACTGCTGGGACTTGTGAGAAGAAAGCGTGGTGTCAAGGCTGGGGGGGTTCAAGCAGCATAAAGTAAGCCCAATAGTAAGCCTGTAACGTCATGTAGGTATGTATCCTTGCACCTGGCAAGCGCATCTTCGGCTCCCACCATTGCATGAGGTGCCTTTCTCTTTGCTCCGTTCTTCGGCGCAACCTCCGCGATTTCGGCACCAGCCGCCGGATATGCCCAACTCCACG